CTCAATGCTCAATGTAGTGCAAACCAATGGATATGCCGACTCAACAGCAACGACCGAAAGTCCGAACCGCACGGACTTTTTTCTCACTCCATGGCAGCCATGTGAAGGCTAAACAAGGGGCCCCTTCATTGGGCCGAGAGATGACCGGGCATCCGGAACATGAACTCACATGTACCCTCATGTTCGTGACTCTCAAGCTCATGAACTGCATCTCCAAAATTTTCTTTTGAGTTCATGATCCTCTGGCCGATCACCTGCGAGGGTGTGGTCCTCGAAGCTTGTCGCTGCTTCTTGGCCGAAACGATGAAGTTCGGATCGAACTTGAGCTGCCAAGTACGGTGGCGCAAAAAGAAGGTCAGGCTGTCTCTGCAGTCTCCTTTCTTTTTCGTGAGCGCGTCACCTAAGTTCCAGTCGCTCGCAAGCCAAATCAACTTGGTGAGGCAGAATCGAATGGCCTGCTTCAATTGGTATGCCTGTATGGCAGCGCGCATGTTCGACAATCCCAGCAGCGGTGATTCATTCACCATGACCGAGTCGAACCCTCCTTTCGAATCGGTCCCAAGCACACCAGGAACCAACCGGACCTGAGAGTCCGCGAGACTCAGCAAATCCCGGCCCTTGAAGATGGAGCCGGTGCCGTGCATGCCTGCCCATAGCAGTCTGGTTCTATAGACCACATCCTCTGTTTCAACAATCGCCTGCATTTCGGCATCGTTGGTGCCGATCGCCACCCGTTTCAGCTTCCAGCTGCGCCAAGCCACCAAACACATTGGTGTTGGGACGCCCTTGAGAGCGTCAGGGCCTGACAGGAAAACTGTCATGCCTCCCGTCGACCCTCCACGGGGTCTGTTGTTGTGTGCCTGGTCCCCCAGGCCAACCACACACAAATCCGTCCAACGACGAACGCCAGGCAACTTGAAAAACTTCAATGTTGACCCTTCTTTGCGCAGCTCCCGAATCATCTCTTGTAGCTCCTGGGCAATCTGGATCTTGGGATCCGTGGAAAGCTCAGTAATGAGCAAATTGCAGCGAGCAGTGATGAGCGGTTGTGACTGGACCGCCAACCACTGCAAGGCACCAAGTGATGTCCGACAGGCCGCAATCTCCTTGGGAGTCATGGTGGATGATCCGTTGCTGAACCGAGTGGGATGCCATCAACGTCCTGCAACATTTCAATGTAAAACTGTTGATCCACCACAAGACATCTCCCAAACTTAGCGTCCTTCTGCATGGACAAATCTGTACCTGCATGGCGGTAGCTGTTCTGCTTTGCTGTGCCCCAACGATATTGTTTGTCAATGGCTGCTTTTATCTGTGTCCAACGACTGTCCTTGACATCGCCAGCACGGTGAAAATCATCCACATGTCCAGCCATGAAACCGAGGGGTCGCAGCTTGAAGTGCTCAGGATCCGTGACAGGGTTGTAGGCTTCATTGTCCACAAACCAAATCCAGAAACAGGCATCGCCCTGAATGGACACAGCTCCCAAGTCACGGAGGCTCTTGTCAACATTCTCCCACAGGTTCCTAGGAGCCGTGGTGCTTCCGTAGAAGTTCTTCAAAATGCGCATCACACCATGCTCGGGAATCTGGAGAGCGTCCCTGAGCTCCTTGACACCGGTTGTCCACAGGCGCTTGGACTCTTCAGTGGGGAGTGTTTGCAAAAAGGCGGTGCTCATGTCAATGCCTTCAATGTCCCAACCCTCTTCCATCACCAGCTGATAAGACAAGTTGCGAGTGAGAACTGCTTGCACTGGTGAGGAAGTACGATGGCTTTCATGAAGTAGATCAGGATGTTCAAAACCAAGCAAAACAATTCTTGCCTTGGCCTTCTTCTTGCCATCGGATGTCAGGGTCGTGGAATCAGGCTTGGATGCCACTTCTTGAAGAGCTTCTTCCATGCTCTCCTCCGGAGTGGGCTTCCATGTGAGAACCCACCTGCAGCGCATGATGCGCCCAGAGTCCCAAGCTTCATGCTCTTCGTGACTGTCCAGGCAACGACGGACAGCCACATTGGTCAGGAAGCTGTTGACCTCCTTTGACTTGGCACGAACAAAAAGTTCACGATGTGCGGGCGAAAGCTTTTCCAATCTGACCTCACAGTCACGGAGCTTCTGAGCTAAGAACAGTGAAGGGTGCTTGATGAAACGCTCCTTCTCTCTTTGGGACTTGAAGTCCAACTCAATGTCCAAGATCCAACCTTCTTCGCACATCTCTAAGGCGTGGAAGATCAGGGCATCGGAGTCCAGGCGAGCCTTCTTGGAGTCAGGCTCAGCTGCTGAAGCACTTGCTTTGGAACTGTCGGAGGACAAGGAGATCAAGGGCTTGTTGTCCGAGAGGTTGGTGAAGCGTTCACCCAAGGTTGGGATGCCACTGCCAATGCCAGTGCCGGTCACTTCCTCAGTGTCATCTGGTTCAGCGTGAGTTGGCTGATCCTCATACTCATTGAGAGGTGCTTCTGAGGGAGTATACTCCAGAGATGGCACAGCCGGTGGAGGTTGTGGTCCATGAAGTGGTGACCATGGGCTCTTCATACGATGTCGCTTCTCTGGAGGCCTTTGATCCTGAAGTGTTGATGGACCAGGCTCATCTGGCAAAGGAGGCAACTCAACATCTTCTTCCGTTGGTTCTTCTGGAAGCAGGTCGATGTACGACCGACGAGGCACCATATCAGCCAAGGAGCGCCAATGAGAAGGATCTTCTGGATTTGAGATCTCGTAGTCAAGGCGTTCACGCTCCGTGACCTTTCTGACCGAGTGCACTGAACATCTATGCATGGCACCGGCCACAATGACCCAGACGATGTGTCGTCTTTCCTCCTCCGGTCGTTGACCATGGATGACCTCGTGGAAGACAACTCTGCCCGGACCCAGCCATTGAGGATGGCCAAGCTTGCGAAGACCTCCTCTGGCACCACCATCAGTTGAATAGCGACGCCAGATCTTGACAAGGTCCATGGGCTGGAAGACTTGAAGAGGTTGCCTCACACGGGAATTGCGAAGCTTTCCAAGAACCAACTGGGATCTCGCCTTTCTCGCAATCTCCTCTGCTTGTTGTCGATTGGAGAGCAGGGAGATGAAGTCAGTGCCTGAGACATCAGGAAGAATCTGCTGCATGGATCTCTCATCTTCTTCTGAGAAGCTAAACTGCTTCCCATACACCCACTGATGAGGAGTGTACCCCTGCACGACCTCTGTGGCATTGAGGGAGTTGATGGAGAGAGCCAAGATGGTCTTTGCAGAGAGCGCCGGAAAGGAGAGCGCAGTCTTGGAGGCCACGGTCTTGACCTCTTGGACGGCTCTTTCCATCAAGCCATGGCTCCAGCTTTCTTTTGCTGGAGGTACTTCAATCTGAATGTTGAGGTCGGAGAGGGTGGTTCGAGCTTGGGCACTGACCATAGACTTCGCGTTGTCAGGGACCAGAATGGTCATCTTAGGCTTGGAAGCAAGCCAGAGGTCAAAGATGCCCTCGAGGATCTCAGTGGTGTTCTCATTCTCCTGCTTGTAGAGATCCATGGAGCGTAGGATCTTGCCAGCTTTGAAGTGAGTGGCAAAGTCCATCAGAACCAAAAGCTTGTACTTCACCTTGCTGTTTGGTGGAGTCCACTCTGTAGTATCCATTCCCACCATTTCCCAAGCCTTTGGAAGCGGCCGCATGGAAGCTGGTGGTATCTTGCCACTAGAAGTGCCGCCCATCTTCAAGGCTTTGCAATCATCACATGACAGCTTCAAGGCTGCCTCAACCTTCCAGCGGGGTTGACCAGCTTCTCGGATGATGCGGGCCAAGTTGTAGTTGTTGGGATGTCCGGCTGCCTTGTGGTACTTGAGCAGCTGGATGTCCCACTGTTTGCGAAGTTCTGCGTTGGGCTCATCATCATCCTCCAGCTCTTGAGGCATTGCTTCGAGCTGAAGTGAATGGATCTGCTCTTCTCCTGTCATGTGTGCAGCAACGGGAGATTGAAGACGATCAAGCCAACGAGCTGGATAGAGTTCAGCTCGCCAGTGCTGAGCAATTGACTTGCACATCTTCCAAGGGTAGTAGGCGGACCGGTTGGTCTCAACTCCTTGGATGTAGTCGTGGTCATGGGAGCCAGTGCAAGTCTTGGCTCGATACACAGTGAAGAAGTGTCTCGAAGTCGTGGCGATGGTCCACTGCTTTCTCAAAGGAAGGCCCTGCTTGGAGAGTAGGCCATAGCGGCAACCATCAATGCGAGCAAAGAGCCACTCCTTGTTGGCCTTGATCATCTCATGACCCAAACGCTGGATCATAGGCTCATTCCAGCCATAGCACCGAGTGGGCCATTCCCAGAAGATCTCGAGGTTGGGGTTGTACTGCACGGCCGAGGACAGGAAGGGAATCAGCCGACGGAACATGGCTCGTTCTTTCCGCCGATACTTCTCAAGGATCTTCTTCTCTTCGACGGTCTGGTAGTTCAGGCTGGTGAAAGGACACCAGTAGGTGCACCTGGAAGAGACCCAGATGCGACGAGGCCGTTCTCTTTTGAACTTGTCCCAAAGCTCATCATAGGTGTCGGCACGGTACATGTCGAAGTTCTGGTGGAGATTGATGCGGGAGGCAGTCAGTCCTTCCGAGTGACAGGCCGAGCTCAACCAAGAATCGGGAGCGCAAAAGATCTCCCAGACATCGACTTGCTGGTGGCCACGAAGCAAAGTGCTCAGGTCATTCTGGGCCACCAAAAGGAGGATGCTACTCAAGGCCATCACGGCCTGGCAAATTCTCCAAGGGAGCACGGAGAGTCCAGATGAACGGGACGGTGCTGAAGAGAGCTGCTCTTCCATCTCCTGTGCGGGTGAAAACGAAGCTGAACCATGGAGTGAGGTGGTTCTTGATGAAGTTGAATTCAAAACATGCTTGGCAGCTCGACGAGACTTGCCACGGCGTGAGGACTTGTTGGACTTGCCCTCATCGATCTTCAAAAGCTCAAACTCCACAGTCTCACAAGTGTACTCCTGATCGGGAACCTCAGAAGCTGTCTCAGCTGTGGTGTCAACGAATTGATGCACCTCCGGTGGAGCGTCAGAGAACTGAACCTTTTTCGCGAACTGTTCAATCTGCAGCTCCGGCACGGTGGTGCCGAGTGTCTCATCTAGCCCAGATGGATCACTGGACTCTTGGCCTTCGCCGGTGTGATCTCCTCCACTTCCACGTCCGAGCTGGGGCTGAAGGGAATCATCTCCGATGTCGAGCTCTGTCCGGCTTGTCGTTGCGATGCCAGATTGCTGACGTGGGTCCACTCCTCCGGCGTCAAATGAGCCAGAATTCTCTCGGCCTCCGTGGCCTTTGTGGTCTTCTTCTTGGAGCCGGTGTACATGATCTCGAGGCTGTTCAACATTCCCTGGGCTTCGGCTTCCATGGTGGAGATCTTGGCCTTCATGGCACGAATCTTGTCCATTGCTTCCACATAGTCGTAGGTCTTCTCCACCATCTCGTAGTCCGGAAGAGTACCCTTCGGAATGCCCTCCTGGATCATGCTCAGAGCCTTGTCCACAAAGGTGTGATCCTTGTGAACCACGGAGCTGGCCGGAGACCCCTGACGAGGAATGTACTCCACGCGGAGAGCACACACGGTGCACTTGGCCCATGAACCATGAGCGTTGCTTCCAGTCACTGAGGGCACGTGCTTGCCGAGACACGGCCAGCATGATGGCTGAGCTCGAGGATCCTTCAAGTCGTGACCCTGACGACGTTCTGGATCCAGTGGGGTCGCGGTCTTGTACCCCTTGGAGGATTTGGCCATCAGATGTCAAAGGAGCCGTCAGTGAGGTTGAGCCAACTGGACAGCCCAAAGCTGCGGAATGCGACTGCTCATTCAAAAGCTTCCGGCGTTGAAACAAAAGCTCAAAACCAGTGCTCATGGAAGTGCTCTGCTTGGTGACATGGACATCAACTGCTGAGACATGACAAGAATCACTCTCGTTGACAGCAAGTTCAAACCAATCACCACTGGGTCCTCCAACCTGTAGCTGCATGCCAGCGGTGAAGGTCTCTGGAGCCTGAGAGCCGATGGAAGGCTGACCGAACAGGTACTGACCGATGTCGACCATGAAGTGACCCTTGGTGTTCTTGAACATGATGAAGGGTTCAGCTGAAGGGTCCATACCAAACACTGCATGACCATCTTGGAAATCCAGAATCAGGCCGACCTTGGTGAGGAAATCCATACCGACAAGAATTGGGACCAGCATATAGTCTTTGAAGGACTTCTGGTAATACTCCGTGGGATTCGGCAGGGCAAACACCTCAAAGGACTTGTTGGGGTTCGTGGAGGCGCTGATGGAGGCAAAGTACATGGCCTGTCCCCAACGACCTGAACCATACCTGAAAAAGGGTCTTCGTTCCACATCGATGGTGACCTTCAACTGTGGATCACTTTCACGCAGCTTGGCGATCAACTTTTTGACAGAAGCTTCAGGTCCAGCCGAGGCCGTAGCCCCGCAATCCAACATGCCAAATCCTTCAGGGATGGCTCGAGGAGCTGGAGTCTCATTGGAGGTGTAGAGCTCCAAGGGAACTGCTTCCATCGTCTCATGGAACTCAAGCGTGTGGAGCTCCATCATGCTAAAATCCATCCCACCATAGTCCATGCCATAGACATTGACGGTGGAACGAAGCTTTCCGCCCTTGCCAGCATTCTTGTTCTTGCCCTTCTGGGTGTACATCACATCCCAAGGCGCCATGTAGGAATCGTCCCATGAGGACATCATTTGATCCTTCCCTTTTCGCATGCCTTTCCCCTTGCCCTTGAAGAGGTAGGCGTCCAGCTCAGCTGGACTCAACTGCTTTCCACCACCCTTGCGGTACTGTGGATGTTGACGGTCAGGACAATCACGAGCAAAATGAGGACCTGAACAAATGTGACAACGAATGTTTCCCTTGCCACCTTTGGAGGATGAGGTTCCAGCAAACTGTCCAAAACCACGGTCACGTCGAAGGGCTGTTGTAGCCTGCTGAGCTTGCGACCAGGTTCGACGAGCTTCAACTGCCAAGGCCTCTGCGGCCTTCTCAGCCTCCAAAGCTTCTTGGAGTTCAGGATCATCATCAGTGGTTGCAGTGTTATCCACTGGGTCGTTGACAGCTTGAGGCCACGCACCAAATTGGTCCATGGAGTGCCAATCCGACTCATGCCAATCCTCAGTGTCCCACGAAGACTCGTGCCACGCAGCATTGTACCAAGGATCTGCGGTCTCAACCCAATGTTGTTGCAACACTGTACCTTTAGATGCTCCATGATGATGATTGAGCTGCTCATCCCATAGGGTCTGAAGAGCCTCAGCGATGGCCGGGTAATCGAGCTTGTTGCCAGTGCTAGCTAGGATGTCTCTCCATTCATCATTTGTAAGGCTTGCTGCAACAAGTAGTCTCCAGCCACGCAAAACATCTAATATAAAAGAATCCATAGGACCCAAACCATCAATCATCCTCTGTTGCTCTGTCTTGCGGGAAGGGCTCCTCTGTGTTTGACGAGTCCGGTTCGGCGACCCCGCCGGTGAGTGAGGAGCTGCTTCATCACCTGCATCGGATGTTTGGGGAACTGCTGCATAACCCTCGGGGGCATCAACTGTTTGCTCAACCTGCTCTTCAAAAGGGGTTTCCTCCCAATCACGCCAGCGTTGATCTCGATGCCAAGGGTAGTAATAGCGTTCACCCTTGTCTGAGGTCTCGGAGGTGGTGATCTCAGGCAACTCAAACAAACGATCTGCAGGGGAGACTCCGTCTTTCTCCTCTTTGAGTTGTAGCAAGGCCTCCTGGAGTTCCTCAAAACCTAATGTTTCCCTCACAAGGAATTGTGCAATGCTTTCTCCAGGCCGTCGTTGGAACATGAAATAGGATGACATCGTCGCAGCCGCATTGGGAAGGCTGCGCCTCACCAAAGGGGAGGAGGCGAAACGCCTCAACATGACTTGAACTCCTTCTTCACCTTCGAAATCCCTTTGGTGCCAGGACATGGAAAGGAGGCGAGCGGCACCCGACAACCGACTGATCAGTTTGGCAGCGACGTACTTCCGTTGGGAACTCTTCGTTCCAGAAAGATACCATCCAACTTCTTTGCAATAGCGGCGCCAAGTCTTCGAGGAACCGTCCCAGCTAGGCACCTCATTCAACCGATCCTTGACGTCCGCCATGACCCCGGAGCTAACTCTGCTCCGCTACCAGTGCAGTTGGAGTGCACTGGTAGCATGTACACCAATGTAGCAACACAACCAGCAACAAAAGGGTGTACCTCAATGCTCAATGTAGTGCAAACCAATGGATATGCCGACTCAACAGCAACGACCGAAAGTCCGAACCGCACGGACTTTTTCTCACTCCATGGCAGCCATGTGAAGGCTAAACAAGGGGCCCCTTCATTGGGCCGAGAGATGACCGGGCATCCGGAACATGAACTCACATGTACCCTCATGTTCGTGACTCTCAAGCTCATGAACTGGAGTTTCCTAGTCAACCACAAACTGACGACAGTTCTTGATAGTCAAGTTCTTGAGTCATAGTATTTGGATGTATTTGGTATAATACGTCTAGCTCAAGAAAAACTGCAACGGGATCACAGTCTTGCTTGAACTTTGGTTCATAGATGTTATATGGCATTTCACCACCCTGGACTGTCCATGAACCGCAGCAACGTCGGCCACATCATCACCAATTCCGAAAGCTCCTTAGCTACCCCCTTCATCAGCACGGCCGTGGCTTCAGAAGCAGCTCTGTCCCCATCAAACAAGTCTGCAATCCCTCACCTCACATCTTAATTGTCACTCTTCAGAGAACATCAATTGGAGATCCACATTGTTCGACTTACTTGTCAGTTTGGTAATTAGTCTCTTCGACCAAAGGAGGTTTTGCTCGAAATGAATGAACGCAATCCGTTGTTACCTTCCAGCGCCAAGCGGGGCGGTGCCAGGCAGTGTTTCTTGGCCAAACAAAAGTCATTCGAGAAGAGTTGGATGAAGAGTTGACCCACTAAGCAAAGCGAACCAGCGAAAATCCCTTAGGTCCTTAGGTATTTCCGACCTTTACTGATTCAATCAAAAAAAAAGTAGTCCAACAGCATCGACCTGTTGTATTCCCGGTTCCTCCGAATGCCGAAACAAGTTCCAAATCTCCAACTGGTCCGACCATGGGCCCAAATGCCACCCATCACTCCAGGTGGCCCCAGGGTAACACCCCATTGCCATGGCTTGGATTTTCTTGGAATTGAACCAAACCAAGACCTAAAAGCAGAAGTGGATGTTCCATGGATTCACCCAGTTTCGGAATTTCTCAAAAATTTTTTCAACATCACCAACACCAACTCGCGACCGATCCACGTTCGCCCCTCAAAAGCCCTTCCACTCAGTGGGGTACTTGAGGGATGTTATGTACGACCAAGATCAATGTATCCACAAAACATGCACAGCCACCCCTATACATCGCACTGGTATAAGACCCAGTGAGAACATGATAGTGAATTAAGACGAATGAACGCTTTGGCACCACCGGGAGGCCTTCTTCGCTGCCGCCAGGTAGTCTTCGGCCACCCGGAGGCCTCCAGGGCTCCGCGGAGTCTTCTCGGACGGCTCCGAGGCTTTGGGGTCGGGTAGAGTTTAGGTATATCCGATCAGACTGGGCTGCGGTGAATAATCTCTTATAGTTTGGGTAATTTCTATATGTCCTTGGCAGGCAGCTGTAGCAGTCTCTGCGGATAGTGATAATTGTTTACCGACTGTTACAGGAAGGTATAGTCATGGTGTGGATGGAAGACATATGTAGTCATACGTCATGCTTTTTGAGCTCTGTGTGTGTGTGTCAAACATAGAACTTCATACTCGAGTTCTGTTGGGTAGTTTTTGGATGGGGATTGTCAACTGCCCGGCTCAAAAAACGCATTCTATGGATAGGAATTTCAGCCAGAAAGGTAAGAGCCCAAACGTATCCCAATGTCTTATTTTCTAGGTTTCTTTGGCCGCTTTGAGTGTGAGATCAATGCTCGACGCCTGTCATACCATGTCATATCCAGCGATCTTAACCCCTGCCCCAATGCACAGCCTGAAACAGGTGGTGTTCTCTTTTTTGTTCAGCACATTTTGAGGCAACCCACTATTGAACCCCTATTGCTCCGACTCCACAAAGGAGCCAGTGTTACCGAACACCCAAACCCAGAAACGGCCCGGAGGGTTCCCCACACCTGACTTCTAGTGTAGTGGAGTCCTCAACCCATACGTTGATCCTGGAAGGTTCCTGGGCCCCTATCACTGTCTTACACTGTGTGGTACTGTAAGCGGATGTTGCCCTGATCGGGCATCCCTGCGTACAAAGAATGAGTGATCCCCACCCTGAGAGGCCATTTGGAAGAAGGCAGGGCACATGTGACTCTCCTGACCCCAAGGTCTTGACAGACTCCGCGGACCCCTTCGGACTCGACGGGTCTCCTTCTCTGGACTCTCCCTTTCGGATGTAGGCACGCGCCAGGGTGTCCATCACCTTGCGGCGACGGAGTCGGGATTTGATGCACATTCGCACGCACTTTGCACGGTCACTGTGCGTGTTGCTATGTATTATTGCATATTACGCCTAGAAGTCTAAAGACTATTTTGGGGGCCACCGCCATGGACCGCCGAAGTAAAGGCACTTCCTTTTCGGGTCACCTAAAGACAACTTGTTACTGTAATAGTCTTGGACTCCCAGGGGTATTTACATGACATAAACGTACCGCTTTTCTAGTACAGCACGGAAACTCTCATATGCCATGCCATTTCGGGATGTCTTCTCAAGCCATCTCTGGGCATCGATTGGTGAGCGGAAGGTGCATCAGTCGGTGGAACATCAAGGGTGGATTCGCTGTTCCATAATAATGTAGACTCTTGATGAATAAAACCTCCCAAAGGAAGAGGTTTTACAATCCCGTAGAAGCGCCCAAGAACCGCAAGTGAGTGCATCCAAAGACGGGTTTAGTTTTTATTAATCAAGAGTCTACGTTGTAGCCCTAGTTCCATCATCCATCCAACTTGCCTTTCATATTCTCTCAGCCTAACGAGTCTCATTCAAACAAAAACGCCGATGCCACCAAACAAGCACGCGACCTCCTCCGCCTGATGTTAACCGTAAATCCCGGGGTGGGAACTGCGCAGGCCAGCCAAATGTACCCCGCGCCGGCTTTTTAGCTCAAGGGGTTTGCATCAATCATTTGAGAAAGCATCATCCGTTTCGACCCACAATGGGAGTCAGCTCGAAAAATTAAAGAACGATCCTTATATACTATAGATCATCTTAGATCAGAAAAGCTCAGAAAAATAAACCTCGACCTGAAATAGAACCCCCAACCATTTGACCCGGATCCCGCGGAGTTCCAAAAAGATTGGGATGTCTGATGTCTGGTTCCTGGATCCGCCGCGCGCCACGCTTTGCGCAGCGCGCTTTGTGTCCTCACCCCGCCGCGCGCCATGATCGGACACGCCTCGAGCTCACCCGTCAAATTCCCTCGCTCCTTGAAGAGTGCCCGCGCACACAGCGCCGACCTGGACGGTGTTCGGCGAGGCGTATTCTGACAGGGAGGGGATCTGGAACAGATCTGAAAGTATGGAAGTAGCTAAGTAGCTGGCCGTTTGAACTGGCCAACCTACAGGTTGGTCTAGCTGGTCAAGTCTGATATACTTCAGGATGTTCTCTTCTTACCAGGTCTTAAAACCATCCTTCAAGCATAACTAACCTTATGTCAATCAGCCGCGGTGGAACTTAGAAGGTCCATTTCGCGTGGCCAGTGTGGGACGGTCAATTACCACCCGCCTTTCTGTATAACAATTCAACAGCTTTGGAAAAAGACCAATTCGACTGTGTGAGGTGACATCAGTGTCTTGCAGGATTCTTAGGGGAAAGGGTTTTCACTTTGGAAGCTCCAAGAATAGACTTGTGTCCTAGTGGTGTAAGCTGCGATATTACCCAGCAGTCCAGCTGCAAAATAACAAGTGTTAGGTGGTCGGAGGGAGCCTATATGGTGTGACGGTGTGTGTGTGTGTGTGTGTGTCAAGGACGAGAAGCAAGGTCTGCTCTGACCGATTCCACTGACCATAGCCCATACAGGTCCCAGTCCCTCATAGGTGAGTCTCCTTGAGAGGCTCAACACCCTCACTAAAATGGGATACACTTTGGGGCATCAAAGCTGGAGACAATGTCAGCCTGTCCTGGTCTTGTTGTGACGTTCACAAAGAAGCAACACTCGGAACGATTCTGAGGCGATCACGATTCTGGGGCTGCTAATTCACAAAAGGTGTATCTAATATACATATATATATATATATGTGTCATTCTATATCTACATAGGTTCCTATCCATTTTCATGTCAGGGTACCCCATGGAAGGGAACATAAAGATCTGCTGCTGGCACCAAATATGTGCCACTGATCACTCCTATTACAGGATGATGAAGCCCTTGCGAGGGCATCGTAAGCTTCTCACACGAAAAAGCGTCACCCTGTCAAACCTGGGGATTCCAATGAACCGACTATATAGTACATATATCAAGTGAAAAATGTTCACCTATACAATACTATATTATACCGTGCTTTTTTCAAGGCGATCGGTCACTGTCACTCAGAGATCTATACATATAATAATATATATAGTATATAAGTTCTATATGAGTTGTATGTAGGCTACAAAACGAGTATATCACGTTGACTCATAACTCACAACTATATATATATATACGTAGCCTACAACATGCCTACAACCATCTGCTTGCGGACAAGACCTCTTCACCCCGGGTTGGCCGATCACACCGATGCCACCGCGTTGGCACCTCACTGCCTCGCCCGGGTCCTGGGGCTGGTCCACCGGGCACAAACTGACGTGAATGAGAACCCCC